TTTCGATCATGGCTGCTAGATTGTTATTCACAGCCATATCATCACGTCGAATCTGTTGTACAATATTATCAACATTTTGGTCCCTATTCACAATTACTACCCTAGGTCTCTCCTTAATGGGATTTGCGGTTAGGCTCTGGGAGGTTCGACTCTAGGCTGCTCGACCGCTACTTTTGCATTGGCTAGATTTGCCTGGGGCAGGTCTCTTTGGTTTTGTTGAACTTGATTAATGGTAGGATCTTCTTTGAGGACTATTCCCTGATTTTCCAATACGTATTCTCTCTGTGGATGTCGAAGAGGCTATGACACTCCAAAAAAATCCGCAAGGCGTTCATCTATGCTGTCATTTGTTGGTTGGATTGAGTGGTGCTTTATATTAGGGGATTGAAAATCGTCCCCATTGTTTGGGCCAACATTTGAACCATTTCGTGGTTACTCTCATCCATTTGTTGCCTAATGATTGCTACAAAATTGTTAGTCAAATTTGGCATTTGGGTGGAATAATCAATTCCTAAAGGTTGGTTACTTCGAACCATGTTTATCCCAGATCCTGGTCCTTATAATGGCGAAGTAACATTCAATATAGGTTCTGAGAATGTTGAGACGGTGTTATGCAAATTCGCTATCATGGATGTTGGCATTCCATAAGGTTGATCTCGATTGCCTAAGGGGATAGAGAAATCTGGGGGCATGAAGGGCATATTCAAAGCATTCCTCATTGGTGGAGGGGTTACTAGAGGGCCCCTTGGTCTAGTATAATTTAGAATGGGCTCACTACGGGCAATCAAATGCGTGAGCATCGAACTTGCCATGGATGACATTGGTTCTGACACAGTCGATGGAACTGTTGCCCCCTAATCGAAGATACTTGGGGAGGTTCTCGATTGTTACTCGATGAACTTTGAAGAATCGAAACATTTGGCTGATTTGAATTCGCCATTCTCTTAGTATATCTTCTCCTTGGTCAATCCCCGTTACTGGTTGGTACATTGCCACTTCTTAATAACATACAACGAAGTTTTCAAAGAGAAAAAACAACAAAACGAAATCGTAGAAAGAACACTACTAGCACTGTCCCACCGGGCGTGCCAATTTGTTTACCGTGAAAATTAGTAAACAACCGCTGATCTTTCTAAATCGAAAAAGATTTGGGTTACTTACAAAATCGATCATACAGATCCTAGGACATGTGCTAGTAAATGTTAAATTAAAGTTTGGAAATGGTGAATACTTCGACAACATTCGTGATCTAACCGTTAATAAACTTTGAAATTCAAAGAAAGTAAATTCCAAAGACTTAATCAAAAGAATAAAATGCATTGGAGAATAACTTGAACAATAAAAAGATAAAACTTGAATTAAAAATGTGGTGTTTGTCAAACATATATTTTCTAGACACACTCTTTTCTCTGCACATGGGTACTTTGAGTAATTCTAGAGATTTTGTACAACTTTGAACACACCGATCCTAACACTAGGACCTTCTATTTATAATGATCGAAAATAACTGACCCTAACGGTCGTCCTACAAACATAAGACAAGTGGCGCTCGACATGTCTTCTTTCCTCAAAAAAGTTCCACGTGTCTTCTTCAAAAATCTGGATAAGAACAAAAGTTTCCTCCTTTATTTGAATTCAAATCTTATGTCGAAACAACATCAACAATTCTCTGTCGAGCCAACTTCTAAGACTTAGAATATTTTTTTTAAAATTTTATTCAACATATCCTCTTTATAAAAAAAATAGCCTCGAACGAAACAAACGAATTTCACAGTTTTATTGAGACCTCTTACAATTTCATAACTTTTTTTTATTGTTTTCATTAATTAAAACTAAACTTCAAATTTAGAAGCTAACGGACTATTCTATTATGCCTTGAATCATGTATAAAAGTATTGTGAGATTAAGTGGGTTATTTCGGGAACCTACTAATCATTATTTAATCCTAAGTTGTTTTATTTTTTTTTAGATAATCAGATGTACGGATGGGCTTATAGTTGAATACTTGCCGCTATGCGTTGAATGAAGTTGTGCAAAATGTCTGACTAATAGATGATGTTGTAATTGAAATTATTGTATTGTATTAAGAATTCCATTGTTTGAATATTTAAATAGTTTTGTTATTTCTTGGATTTCTAATGGATTTAGTATTTGAGTTTCAATGTCAGGAGTTATTATTTTAGACATGGAACTATTATAGGGTATTATGCAAACACGCTCTTAGAGTTTTGAAATCAATAGGTGATATATTTTCCTTCATCATATACAAAAAAGGACTCAAACAGTTATAAAAATTATAAGAAAAACTATTAAATTTCTTTAATATTAACAAACTTGATGTAAACATGATATTGAATAGAGTGGAAGTTGAATAAAATGATTGATAAGGTGTTGTTGCTTTAGTTTTACTATAATTATATCTAAAATATTATCTACAAAAGATTGTAATTAGGGATAACAAAAATATCCATATCCGCGGATATCCGTAGATAAAATCTGTCACAGATATGGGGCTGGTAGCTTAATGGATATTCATGCATAAAATAAATGGATATTTAAATATCCGTTTGTTAATGGATATGGATATGGATTTAATGATATCCATACCCGCGGATATCCATATACATTTATAAATTATAAAAATTATTTAAATATTATTAGTTTATTATACTTTATCTTTGTATCTTTTAAAAAAATTAGTCTTCTTATACTTTTTTTTATTTTTTAATTTTTTTAAGAAAACCTTTCACTTTTTATTCAAATTCTATTTGTCATTTCATATTTAAACTCTTCGATACTTCATACATCACTTTATCAATTTCACAGTCCAACCAACTAATATCGTCATTCCTTTGTCGAACTAGTGTCTCCATTCCTACTCCTCTATCGTCTGATCTTCCATCATTCCTCTGTCGAATCTTTTGTATGGATGTTATGTGATAATAAATTTTTGTGTCTTTAAAATAAATTAAAAATAATTTTCTTAAAAAATAATTTTTATAAAAAAAGTATTATCCATTGATATCTGTAAATATTTGTGGATACCATAAAACTTGTGGATTACTCGCTTAACAGATATCCACATGGATATGAGGCGGATATGAATATCATATTTATCTAACGGGGCGGATACGGATCTGCCCCCATGAATATCCATTTACATCCCTAATTGTGATTTATTAATATTGTAAAACATTGCACCCGTGCATAACACTTAAATTCTTTTTAAATTTAACTAAGAATTTTTTTTTAATTTATACAAAATTTTAAAAAATTTAATAATAAAATAATTTATTAATTTAGTTAATTAAAATATTTAAATCATTTAAATTTCTAATTTTGTAATTATTCCGTTCAAATGCGTCATTAATATTAAAGACAATTAAAAAACCACAACTCATTGCATAAAATTTATACTAAATTTCTTAAATAAAATGTTTTTCTATTAATTTCTTGTTTTTTTATTCAATCAACATTTTTTATTTGCGTAAGCGAGTTAAATCTTTTACTAATAATATTTGATTCTCTATAACTAAATTTGAATTATTCACAAGAATTATATAATGTTTTGTTTTTGAAAAAAAAATGATATTATATCTAGAATACATTAAACTGTCATCTAATTAAAATAAATTATTTTAACACACGAAAAAAACATAAAAGTAATTATTAAAATAGTTTAATTATAATTTAATTCTTTTTATTTTTAATTTCATAATTATATGTCTAAATATTTCATTCTAAAAATGATTATGCATTTCAATTAATCTCATCTTTAAAATAAATATAAATCGGATACTCTATTCAATTGAATGAAACAGATTTTCTTTTATCTTCTTCAATAATGCAGTCTATTTTCACTTGTTCTGTTTTCACTTGGTCTGTTTTCACTTTCCGTTATTCTGTTTTAGCTTTCTGTCACGCGAATTCTACCATTATCAACATGGTATCAGAGTTTAATAAGCTCTGGTAGCCATTGTTTTTCGCGATTGCTTATCTCGTTTTCTTCCTAGTTTTTTTCTCCAAATGCGTTTTTTCCTTTTTTAGAGCTTAGCCATTGTTTTTCGCAATTGCTTATCTCGTTTTCTTCTCCAATCGCATTTTTCCCTTTTTTAGAGCTTAGCCATTGTTTTTCGCGATTGCTTATCTCGTTTTCTTCCTAGCTTTCTTCTCCAATCGCGTTTTTTTGTTTTTTTTGTTTGTTTCTTTCAATGACAAATCAGAGTTATGCCACCGATTTGTCCTTGTTCTTGTTACGCCACTTCTCAATGATAAAAACTCTTATATCTGGACTCGATCCATGCAAATTGCGCTCATATTCAAGAACAAGGACAAATTCATCTATGAAACCCTAACGCTTATATCCAACAACAAGGACAAATTCATCGATGAAACCCTCACTAAGCCTCCAGTTTCCTATCTCTTATATGTGCCATGGCGCATATTGATTTACTTTGTAGTAGCTATATTTTGTCCCACAGCACACCATACGAGAAGCATAAACCCCAAACAAAATCAAACAGAAGCATATTGATTGACAAAAATGAAACTTTTGTTTCATACTTTAGAATCACACCGGTTCTCAACGGTGAATTTTTCTCACACCGGTTCTCAACGGTGAATTTTTCTTGACAGTGTTAAGAAAAGTTCTCATCCACCATGGCACTAATAAATCCACCGTTGAAAACCAGTGTGATTCTAAAGTTCAAAACAAAAAGCATTTAGAAAATCAGAATTAAGAGACCGATGGAGAATTGATTTATTGCTATAAATTCTTGAAATTCAGATTATTTTTTCATTCCTTAAATCAAAATCTCCGTGCATATATTTATCATGATGAGTTTAAGGATAATATTTACATATACAACAAACTCATTTTATGGCACCTACTTCATAACTTCATATCAACACATACCACTATTCTATTCCAAGGAATCAATACAGTGAATCAAACAAAAGAGTACAGCAAGCTTATGAGTTCTATGTTTGATAATTGATACTCATTGTGTGGTATTAGCTCTACTTAGACGCTTCTTTCGGTATCTCCATGCAACCTGAATTCTGTTTGCTGCAAGTGATCTCCAATAAGGCGATTCATACCTAAACATAACACAATCATCAACTCAATATGTGAAAGCCATGGTTTCGATAATTGATATTCTTCATGATTCATGAAAGATCATGCAGTTGAATCATAAAAGCGTGAAGATACGATGAAGTGGAATGAAATGGAATGAATAAATAAATGACCTTATGACTCCTTGAACACGAGGGCTCCGTAAGAATCTTGCAAAAAGAGTGGTGACTTCTTCAATGTCTTTAGAGCGGAGTGAAAATGCCTCAACGTTAGTCAAGCATCTTACTGTTCTGTCACTAGTCAACCCCTGTCCTTGAAGTTTTACTTTTTTACCTTCTGCAATTTAGAAATCACAAGATGAAGATTCATCTCAAGAGTAAAATAATTCTTGAGGCAAGTTATCATTATATCAAGTATAGTTTTACCTTTGCTTTCAGAAGATTGTTCAAGATACCATCTTAAAAGCTCTTCGCCACAAGCATCCCCTTCAGTTAATGGAACCGGAATTCCATCTTCTCCAATGCTCTCCAATTTTCCACGCACAATAAACACCATTTTTTGCACTAGACCACCCTGACTCAAAATTTTACTTCCTTTGATGTATGTTGTTTGTACTAATCGCTCACGAATGGCATCTAAGATAGGCTCATCCTCATCCATAAGGGAAAAAATGCGAACCTGTAAAACTTGTTTAATATAATTGGTTTTGATGTGTCATTGTTTTAGTTTCACGTCACTGTGCATAAAGTTTTGGCAACAGAAAAATTTCCGCATTCAATTTAGATTGGATTCCAGCAACATAGTGGTAGACAAATAGGGAAAAGATAATTTTATTTAAAACATCATAGGCGAGGTTTTGAAGTTCACGTAAAATCTAAATCCGATAAACAAAATCCACTTTAAGAGTAATCATGAACTTCTTTTAAATGTTTGAGTGCATACTTTTTTAACAAACTTGAAGAGATGACGTCGTATGTCTGTCACGAGATCTTCGGGCAAATTCTCCAAAACCATTTTTTCAGGAACACCTCTTGTTGCAGCCCAGCTATACCGTTCAGCCTGCCGAACTCTCCTGCATGACAGACATAGAATCCACCATTTGTGCATTATGCTTAATCCATTATTTGATGGATGCGTTTTTGCAATGTTGTTTTGATTAGTTAAAAGAATTAGAACATTTCATACCTCTTGAGATGTTCTGGTAAGCGACGATGACTCATCCATTGCTCAACATCACGGCCTCTAAGCTGCATTTCCAGCCTCCTGCAACCAAGATGGAACAAAATATATTGAGTTTGTCACAATCTTAAAGAAGAAACACATCAGAATATTAATAACAATGTTCTGTTAATAATGATAATATGAATCACATAGTAGGTAAAATCAAACATAAAAGATGCAAGAACTAAACAGATGACAAGCAAGCACCATTGTTGCCAACAATTAACATTCACATAAAGTAAGAAAAAAAGTTTTACCTCCGTCCAAGAGCTTGAAGAAAGTTCTGAATGTTTCCAATGAGAAGCGCAAAAAGCAAGAGTCCCAATCCAATGATGGACATTGTAAAGAGGACTTCCCACACAAAATAGCTCGGGACTTGGTTACCAGCCAAAGTACTAATTTGCTGTATTAAAGCATAATAATAATTGGTAAGACGTATTAAACCATTTATGTGCCTTTTAGCGTTGGTTCAAATTAGCATTTGATGTTACAGATCACTTGATAATTCGACACGCAAACTTGAAAACAAAAGTTGATAACAATTTGCATGGTTAAAGTCATTCAAATATTAATTATGTTAAATAGTTGGTTAATAAATTTAAGGTGCCATGTATTGTCGTCTACTAAACATTGTTAACCACTAATTTGAACGTCATTAACCGTGATTTATAAATGTTCAAACAAACATGATATCCACTACAACCATCTGAATCATGTTCAAACATGCACATGGTTTTCAAGTTTTCAAATATACATAATGTCTATTAGCCATAATATGTTTTCAAATATACACCTGAAAATTGTGGTTAATAACATTCAGAGACATGGTTATGTGCTTTGTGGATAGTTAATGAACGAAACTTTGTTACATCTATTAATCATGAACTAAAAGTAATTAACCATATATTTGAATTGCATTAACCATCCAAATTGTTTTTGAATTTGATTGTTCCATTCCATTTTGTGCCAAAATAACACGACTTTTATTTTAATTATGAGACATCAATATTAACTTTCGCACAAAAGTCTTCATATTAAATTACATTGTTTATCTTCATAGCTTTCTTTTACTATGTTGTTTAATTAAGAAGATACGCTATTGAACCGTTTATCTTTAAAGAATGAACATCCTATTAACCCCGTTTGAATCTTCAAAGATCAATGTTATAGGACAAAATATATATAATTACAACTAAGGGGAGAAAATAAAAGAACAAAATGCATACCTGGAATCCCCAAAACAGTGCATACACATATTTGTTGATCACCCTAGTTTCTGTTGTAAGCGGTACAGCATAGGTATAGATTCCATAAGAAAAAACATCAGATGGGGAATTCAAACAAGCATCGGCACCCTTATCATTAATCCATTTAGCTGGCATCCCTCCTTTAAAATCACAGTCAATCAAATTCATGCATCCAGGTAGATTAGCATTATGGCAGGCATCACGCAAACATTGGTTAACACGCTGGAAGAATAGAGATAATAGGATAAGTTGTTGCTACATATAAGCTCAAAACAACTTATGCATGTATAAGTTGTTTCTATAAACTCTCCTAAATAGTCTAACAAGTAATTATATCTATATAGAAGCTCAAATAAGTCTATCCAAACTGACCTTAGGTAACGTTATAAATTAGAAGCACTCAAGTGAATCAAAAAATATCTGTTCTATTTTTTTCCTTTCATTATGCAAAGATGCAAGGTTGTTTTTTTCCTTTTTCCAAGTAAGGTGAGAGTTTAAAGCAAAGTATGAATTTTCTTTGAGGAAGAAAATTTATATTTTCTAAAAATGATGCTTCAAATGTCATTTTAACTCACCTGTAGACCAAAGAGATACCAGCATGACCCAACAACATGGCCGGATAGCATAAAAATGAGAAGATTTATAATGAAATTTGCCCAGGCTGACTCAAATATGAATCCGGTTGGAGACTGGCCAATTAGCAGAGGCAAAAATCTGAATAATCGGGGAATATATTGTACAAGAATCGCTAGGCGTAGAAGATTCTTAACGTAATTTGCTCCTGATGACCCCAAGGAAGTTGGTAGGACAAACAATATCATCACCTGCGAGTATTTCACATCATGTATTATGACAAAGATTTTGATGAGTTAATCACAAAACCAATGTCTTTTTCACCGGTTAAAATCTCTTTCTACCCTATCAAATATACATGTTTTCACGCACATTTTGAAGTCCACATACTATTTATTAAGAAATTAACACAGAACTGAGGTAACTTGCACAAAAAGTAATTGAATGTAATCACAAGTGTCAGAGGAGTTCAAGAGTGTGGAGACAAAGGAATATATATACCTGAGGAAGAGGTGATACAACAAATAAGTCGAAGAAAAAATAACCCTTAAAATAATTAAGAGCAATTTTCCTGGGCTGGTCAATTAAATCTCCAGCACCAACCACCCTAGACTCGGGAGAAACATAAGCCAACCTAAACTGCAAAGAAGCAATTGAGTAAGGTTATTTAATCTTATCAAGAAAACACATTAAGCTAGAATTACAACCACGTTTAAGTTTTAGGACATGTGCCTTTTTTTCTTCCTATAAAGTAAAGAGAGACTCATGAAAATTATAACACAAACCATTAGATATTTAAATTTAAATGGTCTATCATACTTGATTCTTAAAAGGACAAAGTCGATCTCTCCATAGAAAAAGCTTTGATTGTTATTATTTTTTAAATAAGATAGCACTATTCTATGAATACATGGATTAGCACAAATTAAATCTGAAAAGATGATTACTGAGAAATTACCTGAAGAAGAATGTTCAATAAATACACAAGATCAGTTATGCTTCTAAGTACAACAAGTGTTATTGCCATTGCCCAGTTGATACGAATACATTTATTTTTCTGCAGAAAATGAATGAAAAAAGATGAAGTTTTTAACTTTTTTGAAGCAAGGAAAAAAGTAGAGTAAATGATGTTTGGAGGATTCTACAATTAAACAAAAGGAAAAACATCATACCCTTTCCACATAGATTAAGAAGAAAAATAACGGATCAACAAAAATTGCAACCAAGCAAAATATGGCCAAAAATTTGTTCCATTGTTGTACAACTTTAGTGTGAGGGTTCATAACTCCAGGAATGCATGAAGAGCAGAAAGAAAAAAGTTTTCTTCCAAAACCTTTGGCGTCGCCATAAAGAGAATTGTGGAACTGTAAAGATTAAAACATGGACAAATGTTTGATTGGTCATGGGAAAGTAACAGGTGCATTCATCATAATGATTGGCAATGATAAAAATATATAAGTAGATATATAAATATGAAAGTTATTAGCTATATAAGAAACGCATAAACTCAATCAAATATCTACAAGTTATATTTTTAAAAGATGAAAAAACCATCCTCGTGAAGTCTAGAAGTCAATGTTTTCTATAAATTTACAAAGAAATAATAATCTATTAGTCTATTATTTTAGGAAAAAAGATACCTTAGGATCAAATATAGTGGAAGCTCGTGGTTTTCTTTTTTGAGCAACTTTGAAGTAAGTAGGGCAAGTAGTGCAATAAGGATCATTACACATTCCGAGTTGTCCAGACCTCACTAAATGTTCATTTTTTCTGTCATATTTATTATTCCAATGATTTTCATCCGTGTCATCAAACTTCTCTGTCTTGTTCTCTCCTACTTTGTTTCCCGCCACTACTATACTATTCTGAAAAGGATTACCAGTTGCAGGAGTAGGATATAGTGGACCACTCATTTGGTTTACCGGAGTTTTCCTTGCGGAACGAAGCGGACCAGTGTGTCCGACAAGATATGGTTGTCTCTCATATGGATCTGAGGCAGCCATAGAAATAGAGATTGAAGCACTTCGTGTCCTCGATATGTTCCTTCGCAAGTTAGACTCCACAAGTTCATCAGATCGTGGTGCACGTGTTTCTAACAGAATCGGAACCTCGTCTTTATCAAAATGATTCATGTTTCCTTTATGATTCTGAAACCAAAAATAAAAAAACATCAATATCATTGTCTAATAACCATCTCAACAATTCTAAAATGAAATATTCTAATTCAGCTCAAAACTTCAAAAGGGAAAACATAAATCAGTACATAACCAAGTGGTTAATAAACTTCACTTTCGAACAATCATTGGCCAGACTTAACTTACCGACCGACACAACCCGAGTTAAGAATAAAAGAAAATTGAAAGACAAAACATGTATATATATATGCTAGTGACAAATCCAAATGGAACTCAATGCATCATAAGAAATATCTTTGTTCTTATATGGCCGGCATCAAATCTAGAATCATGTATTTGACGTATCTTAAACCTTTTCATATCATTGAATTTGATTTTGTGCTTGTGTTCAAACTTCAAAACTAACTAGTAATTTAAATTTCATTTAACTATTACATTAAACAAATAAAATCAGAAGAAAAAAAATAGTATTTTTAATTGTTGCAATAAACATCAATATCATAGAACAAGACAAAATATTGTAAGTTACAAAAAAGTAAGGAACAATTATCCATCAAAAAAAGAACAAGAGAAAGCAAACCCAGAAAGTGTAAAGAGCAAAACCTGATTAGTGAGAGCTGAACGTGAAAACCCCAAAAGCTATTTTGCAGTGATTCAGCTTAAAGTTAACATTTTTAGGAGATTGTGATTATGGATAGAAGGAGATGGAGTCAAAATAGGGATTGAAGTATGAGTGAGTCAGTCTCTGTTAGTGAATGCAAAGTCTTTGAAAGAGTCAATATTTTTTTTTGGTAAGAAATAGCTTAAGTCGTTGGCGCGTGAATGTCACTGTGAACAAGTGCGCTTTGTTGTTGCCACAGACATTACTGTTATTGTTATTAGCAGACATCCACACACATGTTATAACATACGTGTTTTTTAATACGTAAATGGACATCTCCTTCTAGAAGAAGACAGATAAGAAGCATTTGAGTATGTTAGATGACTATTAAATTCTTTTTCAGAAATTTTATTATATTAGTATGAATGATATCTATAAGTTTTAAATTATATCACTCAAGAATTGTTGAATTTACACACTGAATATTTATTTTATTATATAAAAAATGATATATTCATTGTATTGAGTTTATGAATATATCTTCTTTAAAAGACAAGAAAGTATATTAAACAATAATTTAATTTTCTTAGTATAATATAATAAATAATTTTATTTTATTTTAGATTTTAAATATTTAATATTTGTTTATATTTTCTATAAATGCTCTACTATATTCTAATACTCTAATATGTTCTCTTATTATTTAATTTTTTAGGTTCATGAATTTACTTAGTGTTTAGAATAATAGTTATCTTCTAGACCGATCAAAAGTCTAATATTAAGAGGTTCACTAGTATTTTTAAAAAGGGTTAACATTCATCTTGATTCAAGAATAAATACCCATACGCACGTGAGTGTTCGAATTGCAGTAAAGCGGTAAGAAGTAAAAATTTAGTTTTGGAAGAATTTCCTTCGGAATTTATATCGTCTCCACAAGAATCGGTGCGAGTGAAAGAATGTCATTCAACGATCTCTACGTTTCTGAGCTTGTTGTGAATAAATTTGGTTGAAAGATTTAAGGTACCATAAATAAAGGCACAAAATATAAAGTAAAGACTTAAAATAAACGGAACTTTGTTAGGATTGAATCTCATCAATTGATAACACATGCATTTTTCTAACTAGTTAAATACAAATCAATCATTTGTCTAATGTCCTCGCGTATCACCCACAACAGAGGTTATGTCTAACGCAACGTCGAGATAACAATCGTATTGTATCATTGGTGATGTCTCAGGCAACTCAACAACGCAGAGCATTAAAAACTGATACTCTAGCAAATGTTAAGTTTATCTAGAGTTTAGAACCTAACAGATATTCAACCTAGATCAAGATCTGAAGAGTATATTTCTATAACAGTTCAAATTAAAGATAAACAGGTAAACAAAGTTGACATTTATATCAGATCCATGATTGATTCATATAAAACGCCATGATCAGAATACATACATACACTTAATCCTTTTTTACATGCATTCAACTAATTTTCCAAATGTAAGTGAACATAGTTTCTCATCTCTATTATCATGCATCCTCACAATACCGTATTGATCCTACTCATGCTACTCATGCTATTAATCAACACAATAAAATAAAAGATACTAGTGAATATCAACTTACAAGACTATGTCAAAAGTTTGTTCATTGATAGATGAATATCTAAGATCTAAGATTTGAATAGAGTTTTGTCAAGACCAACAAATAAGAAATCAAAGACAACGTCAATATTGAATAAAAACTAATAAACAATACATAAATTAGATGAAATACATAAGGTATCAAAAGATTACATTCAAACCCAACAAGAAATCGAAGCTCTTACCTTTTTTCCCTTAGAGTTTGTGTTTCACTCTCTAGAATATGCTTAGAATGAAGAGAGATAAAATTATGATCTCCAAAATATATGTTATAAAAGTTATGAAAGTTTTTTTTCTAAAAAGCAAGAGAAAATACATATATAGTAAAACAAAAATTTGTCTTGTTCGTCTAGCGAACACCTTCTTCGCACAACAAAGTCCACTTCCAGGCACTTCAAGTGCCTCAGGAACAGTTAAACTGCCCTTGGAAAATATCTTAGTTCGTAGCGCAAACACTTCTTTGCTACAGATTCGCACATCAAACTTTGGGTCCCTTTTCCTACTCTCATCCAAGGTTTCCTCTTTGCTGGGACCTCGCTGCAACTTTTCAAAGCGAACATTCGCTAGCTACTCGCTCACACAGCGAACATTGTTATTTCTTCTTCATTTTTTTGGCTTTCTTGTCCACTCATTTGTGTCTTAACCATTGATGTTTTATGCGTATAACCTACACAATAATACACATATCAAAGCATCCAAAGTTATTTGCAATATAATTAAAGAATCACACAAGAACAAGAATTAAATCTAATAAAACATGAGAAATAAGTTGAAAATACCAAGAAATATGGTTCAATTTAATTATAAATTTTCACTTAACAAACTCTCCCCGACTAGATTTTTACTTCTCCACAAACAAAGTATGTTCCTCATGAAAACAAGAGGATTTGCTCAAGTATAAGATTCAACCAAGAAAAGACTAATGGTTCAAGTTCAAACAAGAGAGATTTGCTCAAACAAGAGGATTTGCTCAAGTATAAAAATGCGCACAAGTAATGGTCACCACTTAATAGAATCGAACAATGGTAAATAATTTAGTTCTTAAACAAATATCATGCAATATTTCAAATAACAACTAAGTTCTCATACTTGGATCACTTTAACACTCATCTTCAGAATAAAGATAAAGAAATTAATGTGTTTGCAACCGCAGGGCAATTTCACTCGCCTGACAAACAATGCAAATAACAATTCAATTTATACATTCATCTAATCAATCAAAAATGAAATCATGGAAGCGAAAAGATCACAAAGGGTTCTTAAGATTGTAGCTTGGTCAAGTTCACAATAAAGGGTCATTTCTCAAGGCCATTGAATTGAAATTTCCAATACAAAAGAAACATTCATTATACATGGTATTTACACATCACAACTTCATTCATCACTTTCTTTCCTCTATTGCAAACCTTCTCAAACTTTCTTTTGCACAATTATTTCATTCTCTATTTTTCTTTTTCAAACAAGCGTTATTTTTCTTTTATTGTTCACATTCATATTCACATTTTTTCAATGCTTGCTTGAAATTTTTCAAAATTTTTAGCAACCTACCATTTTTCTTTTCATTCTCCCCAACTTGAATTCAACCAAACCTCAAGTGAATGCTCTTTAATTTTTATGGAAAGGAAATCAATTTAAACAATGTTCAAAGGTTTCAAGAATTTTTTTTAGAATCCCACAAAATTCAGTGATGAACTTAACTTTTAATTTATGTACACACACCAAGTTCATCATTAAATTTGGATTTAATCTAGTAAGGCTCGAAGGGGTTAACGAATTATTACTAATCACATGTAAGTTACTTTTTCGATACCGTTGGGCTTAATATAAACAAATGCCTTGATCATTTATAAGGCTTCCACAAAATCACAATAATAAAAAGATTAAGCATGAATCAAACGAGTTAAACAAAATTATCAGTCATCCTAGCATATAGTAAACAATGGAGATTTCTCACACTTTGTGGCTTTTAGACCTAAGTGAAACAAGCATTCAAACAAAGTTACAAAATGAAACAAAAATACACATTTGCACAAAGCACAAAATTCTTAAATCATTCTAACATTCTATAAAGCGGTACAATTTACCTTACTTGCATTCACATGATCAACATCCTACCATCACCATTCAAACTTGGGAGAATCTTCATTAGACACTTTTACACAAATAGCAACCAACCTAGAAGAAGTTTTCATCATTTATCCCTAATCAACACTTGAGAAAATGTGAAAGGAAACAAGTATATATACAATATAAACAACTATACAAAGCTCAAAATTATAGAAACTATTGCAATGCAATTCAATATCTAAACACCAATCCCCAACAATGGTATCATTTTGTTCGAACTGCATTAAAGTGACAAGAAGCAAAAATTTAGTTTTGGAAGGATTCCTTCCTAGATTTATATTGTCTCCACAGGGATCGGTGCATGGGAAAAAATGTCATTCAACGGTCTCTACGTCTCTGAGCTTGTTGTGAATAAATTTAGTTGAAATATTTAAGGTACCATAAATAAAGGAAGAAAATATAAAGGCGGAAAATATAAAGTTAAGACTTAAAATAAACGAAACTTTGTTGGGATTAGATCTCATCAATTGATAACACGTGCATTCTTCTAACTAGTTAAATACAAATCAATCATTCGTCTAACATCCTCGTGTATCACTCACAATAGAGGTTATGTCTAACGCAACGTCGAGAGAAAAACCGTATTGTATCATTGGTGATGTCTCATGCAACTCAATAATGCAGATCATTAA